AGGAAGGAAAGAAGGAGGGAGGGAGGAAGGGAGGGAGGGAAAGAAGGAGGGAGGGAAGAAAGAAGGAAGGAAGGAGGGAAGAAGGGAAAGAAGGAGGGAGGGAGAGAAGAAAGAAGGAGAGAAGGAGGGAGGGAGGGAGGGAAGAAGGGAGAGATGGAGAGAAGAAAGGAAGGAAGGAAGGAAGGAGAGAGAGAGGGAAGAAAGGATTTATTAATTGCTTACTTGTCTATGTGCCAGATATCGTGCTAAACAGTTTGTAAAGATGATCTCATTTGATCCTTGCACTACTGAGTGGTGAGTGCTATTAGGATGTTAGAGGCAGCCCATGTCACATTAGAACAGTTTTCATTGTTAGCCTCAATGGGCCTCTCTGCACTTTCCCCCTATGGCTTCTGGTTCTGCCCTTTGGGGCCAAGAAGAACAGGTCTGGTCCCTTCTCCACACACTTGAAGACAACTATCCCATCCCAGTGTTCTCCAGGGTAAATATCCAGGGTTACATTCAGTAGTGCTCATGTAGCATCAACTCAAGGCCTTTAACCATCCTGTTTGCCCCTTCTTTGTGTTCTCCAGCTGATCCCTCTCCCTACTAAAATGTTGAGAATTGAGTGAAGGGTGTGAAAGGGATGGTAGGTGTGGCATCTTTTTGGAGTGATTGGTGTGATGAACATGTTGGAGGTGACAGATGATGACGAGTATGGCAGGAGCAGTGGTATAATAGGTGCAATGAATGTGGCAGTGGTGACTGGTGGGAGTGGCGCTGAGTGTGTCTCACAGGAGTGGTAGGCTTGATAAGAGTGGTGTTGGGTGGGGCAGGGAGGGAGATGAAGGGGGTGTTGGATGTGATAGCAGTGACGAGTATAGCAAGAGTGTCGAGTGTGTCAGGAGTGAGCGAGGTGACCAATGCCTCATTTTGTGGGTGCGGCAGCATCGCCGGATGGGATGAGAATGATGTGATGGATGTGGCTGGTTCCTGGCTGGTATGGTCTTCCTGGTGTAACAGCCCTCCTTTCCCTCCCTGGGCTGCTGCCTAGGCCAGGTACCAGAAGTTGGCAAGGACCCTCAGGAAGCTGCCCTCTGAAATCCCCACCAAGTCCTACAAGTCCCTCATGTCTCACTTTTCACTCCTCAACCCCAAAGAGTATATGATTCAACTCCTCAGGGACCGAGCCATCAAACTGCTCCTCTACAAGTACAACTATGAGAAGAGCCTGGAAGACAAGATTGGCTTTATCTCCTTCACTGTCACTGACATCCTCAAGGACCTCATCCTCGGTTACAAGAAAATCAAGGGCCCAAGCATCTGTGTCTCATCTCAGATCAACTTGCACCGCATGCCGGACAAGCTGGAGAAGGCCGAGCAAGCAGCTACCTTTGCACCCTTCAAGAAGAAGATCCCTACCACCACCACCACCTCCTCATCCTCTAGCCGCCACTCTCCTCGGCTCTCCACCAAGTCTTCAATGAAGCCCTTCCAGTATCCTTGGTCCTTGCATAAAACATCTGCCAGGTCTTCCAGGCCCTCTGTGGTGCCAGGGGTGTCACCAAGGACTTCCTTCCCCACCACAAGCACGTCCTCCTTCCTTCCTGCTTCACAAAGCCAAAGTCGGGAGTCCAAGACCTTGTCCAAGGACCGCTCTCCGGATTATTCCAAAAAAACTTCATCAAAAGCCTCTAAGCCTTCAGAAATCCCAGAGATTTATATTGAGGGGAAAGATGAGGAGGAGAATGAGGATGAGGAGGGAGAGGAGCATGAGGAAGAATATGAGGCCTATGAGAAAGATGAGCAAGTGGAGGAGGAGGAGGAGGAGGAGACTAAGAATGAGGGCACAGAGGAATATGAGGATTTCTGTGTCATGGAGATGGAAGATGCTGAGGATGCCGAACAGGAAGACAGTGCAGAGTACAAGGAAACCAAT